TGTTTTGCACCCATTCAATGGGTACAAATACGTCAGGTAGTATTTGAACATAAAACTCTTCGGCCATTTTTGAACTGAGTCGTAGCGGGTGCAAGCGTAATTTTTAAAGCGTGCTCCCTACCTCTACCTCTCTATGTATAGCGGAGCTATCGGATAATCGCGGATTGCGATTATCGGGATCTCTCGCAGAGAACCAAGGCTCCCGGGTTTTTTTGGAATAGTCTAATGCCAGTGCGTGGCCGAGTGTGTGAAATTCCGAGTGTTTGATGGGCACCCTCGTGGAGCCGGGATACGGTCCACGGGGATAAGCGGAAGAGGCACGGCCACCACGATTTGGATTTGATACGGGACTGGTGGGACAGCCAGCTCTCGGACATCTTACATTGTATAACCCCACGGTAGGGTATCGGTCGTACCAGGAAGAATGACCCTCTTGTCGTCATTCCAGCTCAGTGCTATTTTTCTCTGTTGTACGGTGTAAACTTTATGTTTTTTACTTTGAATTAAATTTTGATGATGCAAAAGACATCGAATATAATCATTAAAGGTAATTTTTTTTTAATGTGGAGGCCTTGACTCCTTTCGCGTGTTTTTTATCTTTGGGGCCTCAGGTGGCTACCGACGTCAGAGGGCACACTCCCGAGGAAGGAAAGGCTCGTCTCCAACGAGACCCGTTAGGATCGCGAATCGCGCCGCGAGGGGATTCGCGGGTTCGGTAGGGACACCGAAATAGGGACAAGTCTGGGGCAGGCTAGAAATCACGACTCGGAATAGTCGTGAGCCGCCGTTGGAGAACACACTGTACGCGACGGGATTTGTATTGTAAAATCCGCCGTTTATTTGATGGTAATAAACGGAACGGTATCCTACTCGCTGTCTTATCATTTTGCGCGCCTATCCGTTGCCTCCAAAATTCTCTCTCGTCGCCCCCATGTTCCCCTCTGCCATTTTCAGTGCGCTGAGGCTGACTCGCTCGGAAATCTGAAAACGGCCGTGGTGAGGGATGGTGGTGCGGGAAAGCCGCACCTGGCACCCAACAATTAGATCTTCGGATCTTTTCTTTGATAACAGCACGTTGGGAGCAGCCACGGATTATTTGTAGGCGACGCCGATGAACGGTCACGTCACTAAGTTTATAAAAATTTTTTTCAAAATCATTATTCGATTTTTTTCTTATTTCAGTGTTCAATTTTATATACTTTTTGAGCCACGGTGCCTGTTTAAATTTTAGAACACGATGAATTTTTGTTAACTTTAGACCTAATCTCAAACACTGTTTCAAATTGTACGTTTTAGAAATGTCTAGAATGGAAAATCCTGCGTATATCGGTTTATTGAATTTAATTTTTGTTCGAATTGTTCATAAGTTTATAAAACTTTCTTTCAAAATCATTATTCGATTTTTTTCTCATTTCAGTGTTCAATTTTATATACTTTTTGAGCCACAGTGCCTGTTTAAATTTTAGAACACGATGAATTTTTGTTAACTTTAGACCTAATCTCAAACACTGTTTCAAATTATTATAATGAATGATGTATCTATTTTTGGGGAGGAGCGAAGTTATCAATTTCGAATTTTTAGAGCCTGGAGGAGTGTATTGTTGCGGACAGAGTGGCAAATTTTTATGAAGTTCTTGAAGCTCGATAGGATACTCCAACTGGTTTAAATTTTAGAACACGATGAATTTTTGTTAACTTTAGACCTAATCTCAAACACTGTTTCAAATTATTATAATGAATGATGTATCTATTTTTGGGGAGGAGCGAAGTTATCAATTTCGAATTTTTAGAGCCTGGAGGAGTGTATTGTTGCGGACAGAGTGGCAAATCTTTATGAAGTTCTTGAAGCTCGATAGCATACACCAACCATAGCTGCACCGTATAAATTATTTACGTCATAGTACATAATACACGATTCCTCTTTGCTTGGATGGAAATCAGCTCCCATGTACCTATTGTTAGCCCTGGCGTATCTGTTGGAGCATTGAGCTACACCACCTCTCAATAAACAACACCT